TGGGCTCATGGGGTCCCCAGGTAATCCCAATCTGCAACCTGGATGCGTAATTCTTTCGGAAATTGAACCGGGAATCAACTGGCTCAGTTTGCAACACTTTTTACTAATTTAAAAAGTTTTGTGTCGCTGTTTTAAAGTTTTAATACATGATACAATAGGTTTCACAGTTTTATCGATAACAGATAAAGTTCGGATGTCTATCATAAATGTACGAGTAGAAAATCTTTTTACTTAGATTTGGCTTTGATACATTTTTTAAAGGTAGTGCGCCATCGACAGTGATGAGTGAGCAGCGCGTGCCGACTGTAGGATGGTTCTTTTTTGTATCACGTGGTGACCCTCACGGTCGTTTCACTAAATGTGAAGTGAAACTTCTTACGATATAATACAGCTAGGGGAGCTGGAGCCGCGCACTCGTGGGCGGCGGGTCATACAACGTATGACAAGGTTTTGCATTTTGAGCGCTAATTTCGGCCAGCACAAAAGTCTTAAACATTAAAGCAAACTGCGTATTGAGTAACCTTCCGTTGATCCAATTTCAACAAAAATTTGTAAGCTTACAATGAAACTGTCCGAAAAATTTAGAGCATATCCAACCATCAAAAATTATGTTACAGCTAAAAAGCCACGTATTTTGCCCCATTTTCATTACTATATTGTGTTATAGATTGAATCGAGCTAGGACACGGATTTGCTGACCGTAGCTAGCTTGAACAATATTTCCACCTTGCTATGGTGGACCGCCAACAGCAGGTGGGAGTAAGTCCTTTGTGACATATCCCTAAATCAAAGTATTTTAGTCCTTTGTGACATATCCCTATATTAAAATGATTTAGTCCTTTGAGACATATATTCTATATATTATGATATAACACTGTTACTATTGTAATATATCACTACTAGTTTTACTACCTTGGTGCAGTTATCAAAAATGCGTCTATTCATTTCTTGAAAAATAAAAACCAAAAACAACATACGATTGTAAGAATCATAAATCAAAATATAATTGAGGTGTCGATCATATTAGATCATAAATTGGGAATTCCACAAAATCTATGTTGATTATATCCTTCTTCTATGGACCCTTACCCACATGTTACTACCGCTCTATTGAAGCCCTACACATTACTTCTTCTCTACTGAAGTCCTAAACGTCACTCCTGCTCTATTGAAGCCCTACACATTACTTCTTCTCTACTGAAGTCCTAAACGTCACTCCTGCTCTATTGAAGCCCTACACATTACTTCTTCTACTGAAGTCCTAAACGTCACTCCTGCTCTATTGAAGCCCTGCACATTACTTCTTCTCCACCGAAGTCCTAAACGTCACTTCCGCCCTCATGAAGCCCTGAAAATTTCTCCTGCATTTACCTCACTTAGTCCTTAGAAGACACTATTAGAGCCCACATCACCCCAAAGACCTTGAAGATCTAAGTTGACAATAGTTAGGTGAACGACTTACCTTCTGGATCAACCGTCATACTAAGACTTAACTAACAAGAATAGACACGATCCTAGTTGATGAACATCAGCTCACGCCAACAACGGCTCATTGAAATACTTCTAAATGGACAATCCGAAAACTATAGTTTTTAATAAATGAAACAGACTGGAGAAAATAAAATTTCCTTGAAGACCAACGAACAATTCGTGTAAATTATTTTTAATAGAATATGGAGAAGAATTAAATCTGTGAATTCGTGTTAGCATTTGATTTTCAATATGTGAGATATTTGTGACAAGACCCATAGCTTGTTTTTTCAAATTTTGGACGTATAATAAAAACCCCGTAAAGATTTTATCTACCAATAAAATCTTTTTCTGTGTCCGTAGGGATCTGTTATAGATTGAATCGAGCTAGTTCCTAGCTCTCTCCTGATTCTTCTAGAACCTTCCACGAGGACCAAATATCTCTTGATATTTACGGGTTAAACCACTAGTCCGTAAAGAGGACAGTTAAAACCACTAGTTCGTAGAGAGGATAGTTAAACAACGGTTAACTACCTTGTTTTAATTATAAACTTAGACCTCTCCGAAACATGTAGGTTTAGCGTAAGGGTCAAGGTGCTGCGATCTTAGTTTGTTCATTATTCCAATTATTCTGATTTTATCATCATACTATCTTTCACTTGAACTTCGAGTATCTATCTATTCTCCACGCACCGGGTATATCAACTCCGATATCCACCGCGGACCACCAAATCTGGACCTAGTTGTGAAAGCCTACTGCATGGAAGCTCTTCACAAATTTTCAAAATGATCCTGACCATTGTTAAACTTAATAATGGTCTGGCCCGGCGCGCGCTACTTCGTAGCACTTGCCATCGAGCATTTCGAGAAGAAAGCGGCGCGCGCTCAGCGCTACTTCGAAGAAATTTAGACGAGTAACATCCGTCAAATTGAATGATCTCATTCAATGGAACCGAAGATATGACAATTTAATATTGTCATACGTTGTCATTTAATTGACGATGTCAATTCATGGCAGCTCGGCGCGGCACAGTAGCGCGTCTCGCCAATATAGCACAGTAACGCATCGCGCTACAAGTTGTCATGTATGACCCGCCGCGCACGAGTGCGCGGCTCCCCTTTGTCGTAAGACCGATAGTGAAGCGACCTCACAGGGGAGGGGGCTGAAACCAGGTTTTCGATCAAACGCTGCCATTTGTAGTCAAACGCCGCCAACAGTTGCTCTCGTCCAATGAAATCGCGATCGCTGCATTTTGCAAGTCAGTATGCATAATTGAATTACATATATTCATGTGCGGAGCTTGACTTACATAATGCAGCGATTTCATTGGACGAGCTAGCAACTGTTGGCGACATTTGACTACACATGTGACATGGCAGCGTTTGAACTTGTATCACGTGGTGACCCCCACGGTCGCTTCACTGTAGAGTTTCGGCGATACAGGGGGAGCCGCGCACTCGTGCGCGGCGGGTCATACAACGTATGACAAGTTTGATCAAAAACCTGGTTTCAGCTCCCCCTGTGTGCTGTGACCTTGGAGGACTTCGCCGCTTCGACGCGCCGCGCAAACTAGCATTATTGCTAGTTTGTTTGTTTTTGCCAGTTTTTGCCAGTTTGTTGCCAGTTTGTTGCTAGTTTGTTGCCAGTTCGTTGCTTTGCTCATAATCACGTAACCTCAGACCTTGACGGATGTTACTCGTCTAAATTTCTTCGAAGTAGCGCGCGCCGCTTTCTTCTCGAAATGGCCCGACGGCAAGTGCTACGAAGTAGCGCGCGCCGGGCCAGATCATTAACAATGGTCAACCTCAGACCCAATCAATGATCAATTAGGTTCGGGCATGGTCAGCCCCCTGTCACCCGATCTTGAGGTGACGTACGACACCTCGTTTACGCAATCAATGTCTGAAAGGCTACACACGTCGCATATGAGGACAGTAGTGATCTGGGTGCTGTACAATATCGATATCCTATTTATTCTGCACAGTTGTCACATGAGTCAAAATATGACCATTTGATTGGTTTTCAGCGTCATATCACGCGGCTGTATGTCTTTTGATTGGTTAAAGTTGATCACGTGGATTGCTTATAACTTGATGTGTAATGTTGATTTATATAGAGCCAGAGGTCAGCTGACGTAGGGAAACGGTCGCGTGACTAGCTTTGCTGTGTAGTGTCGGTTTATATAGAGTCAGAGGTCAGCTGATGTAGGAAACAATCACGTGACTTTCGCGATAACTTTGAATGTCATAAGTACACTCGTAATTGTGATTATGCAGCAGTCCGGTTGGGGCCTCAGACTAGTGAGTTAACGGTAACTTTCCTCTGCAGGAACATGTGGGTTCGAATCCCGCCTGGTCTACTTCCCCGAAGGACTGCTTTTGTTACGATAACCGTTATAACTAACGTTAATCGGTTACAGGTATTTAAGAAACTACAATAGTTTAATCATATTAAAACGTAACCACAAACCTTCACCATATTATGTCTACAACATACTTTTCGGAAATAGAAAATTCTGAACCATTAGCAGTTGACGAAGTCGAAAATATTTTCTTCTCATTGGATTTACAAATACCAAAAACCTTCTATACCGACAGAGTTAACTCATCCTGTCACGCCTCTGAAATATCCACTCAACTAAAACATGTTGAATTTGGCAACAATTTACAAAAATTCGAATTCGTTGTTACTCTAGAGCGAATATTTAAACTTGATCTAAGAACGAATAACCCATGGTTTAAATCAGAAAACAACTATAAAGACTACACTAAAGAGACACCAACCAAAAAAGTTTTTAAGAATCTGTACACAAAGAAGAAACCCAAAAGAGTTCGTATAAGAATACTTGAAATCGAAAGCAGTGTATACGAACTACCTTATTGTAGGAGAAATAATCCAATTCTGATTCCCGAATCGGGTCGACTGCACGCACCTCACTGCAAAAACACCAATCAAGAAACTGTTGATGTTATTGGTGACCGTACTTTTCAGAATAGACAATTCCATTTACAGGATATTAAACAAAGGATCAGCCAGTTGCAAGCTGCAAGCGCACCTGAATGCTAAATGAGTTACCTACCAGCTAGAAGCAACGTCTCTTGTTTAATGAGAAACTTCACATTTTTTCTCTCAGTTATTCTATAAAAGCGTTCCTGCTATCTCATAGTTTAGTTCCATATCGCGTGTGACATCATCATCATGATCAAATCTACAATGGATGAACTAAAAACAAGTTTAATTGTTTCTGGACGAGGGAAAATAATAAAAACCATGTTTGATCGACCCTTGTCTGTTGTTTTAATACTTACTCTGTGTTTTAATACTTTCAACACTACTATATAACAAATAATTTGAGCCTGAAGATGGCGTTGACGCCGAAAATTTGCCCTTACTCCTAACTTCCTTGTTTCACTTGTCCTTGTCTCTTCCAACCGGATAATATCCAGATATCAGTATTTCAATCATGAGACTAATAAACAGCGAACTACTCCGTTATTTGGTGTGCATTTTTGTTCAATAAGCTAATTATTAAATGATAATTAGATTAAATAATTAATTAATTAACCCACTCTCCATGTAGTCCTCGTACTGAGATTGTCCACCACAACTCTGTTTTCCGTATTATAGGGACGAATCCTCGTGTGACTGTAATAACAAGCATGTTAGTAACTGGGAAATTACAGATTTTACATTAGCAGTAGAGTAAAATGTATCAAGATAGACAGCCTCATTTATATTCATTTAATGAGCATAGTTTACTTACTATATGGCACCTTGCATTATCCAAGAACGTAATATTAAAAGAGTTGAAACTAGATCTACATTCTACATATAATGTATATGACATTTATATTGTATATTTTACTTTCTTTTTGATTTACCTGAACTTGCGTAAACAAAAAGAGCACAGATGGTGTAAACCATTTTGACCTCCCTAGAAAATTCATTTGACTGCGTCTGAACTCTGAGCTAATCAAAATTTTCTCAGGAAACTAAGGTATTTGACTCTTCATACATCTTCAACAATGGAGAATACCCCGTACGAAAAGAACAGATTGGTAATTGCATCCAGCTGACATTGTAAATTCCATCATTACTCATCAGACCATAAGGGCACCATGTCGGACTTCTAAACACCTGCTCCCAAAACAGGGCTGGAAAGGGAGCTCTCTAGAGGGAGCTCTTTAGAGGCACTTAAACAATTTACTTATTACAGAGCTGAACACGTGAGGCTCTCTCTATCTCGTTAAATGTTAACGCCGATATATCGATCATTTATTGAGTTTAAGCTATTTTCAAGGTTGAGTGAGTTTCAGGGTTAGTGGCGGCTTGGTTCATGATTTTAGCACGTCTTGTTCTAACCTTTAGTTTCAGTTACACTGCGTTTTATTTGAGAGCTTATACCAAGAAGCGGTAGACTGAAGTTGGCAATTGGCATCGTCCGTTCTTTTAGAGCCGTCCAGTATTTTCATAAATTTGTCTGGTTACATTGTGTGAAGTGTAAGTTTGCCAAGATACGATAATATATTCAGTTCTGTCTGACATGTAGATGTTTGAAGTTTGGTCTTCTTCAGAATTGGGCTACAACTACACCCATGCATATCATCTTATATATGGTAAAATTGTCTTCAACATTATTCGCGCCATCGTATAAGGATCACTTGCAATAAATGTGTTAGATTTTCTTAGAAGAGGCATCTGGTGATACTTGAAAATTGGTAAGAAATTATCATGTCAACTATAATCCTTGCAACTGACTAAGATTATCACAGAATTATATCAGAATGCATGACTGGCAATCGCCTTGCAGCAATCATATGTTGCTGCTACAATCTACCTACGTTGGCACAGGAGTCACAAAATAAGTAATTTCATGGACGACAATTTTGTGATTACATTAAAGTACTGATACTAATGATGGTGTTGCGCCAATGGAAATGGCGAAATACAATCCACTCTTTCTATTGGTCATTTTGGTGGACTGCGTAATTTGTGATTGCAATGTGGTCACTGCTCATTGAGAACATATGAGAGATTCGAGGGGACTAAATACATTTCCCTGCCGGGGAGCCTTTAAAATAAAGATTATAGGAACGTGAATATTGTAAATGTATTTTGTCATTTTCCCTTTGTTTGCTTAATCTTCTTTGCCCCTCAGCTATAATACTTATGACAGAAGAGTTGATCACAACCAGTCACCGAGTGATAGTGACATTTTGGGGTTTGGTCGCTCTCATCTGCTTTGTTATTGGATGTCCAGCTAACTTGATAGCTTTCACTTTCTTCGCTCGGTACAAGAAGAGTAGAACTAGTGGAGTACTTTACATCTTAATTACGCTCATTGATGCCCTGATTTGTGGGTTCGGATTTGTTATTGGAGTATCAGGAGTTCTCAACAACAGCAAGGTTTTTAATCTGTGTCATGTTTATTTAATAATCCCCAATAATTGTTTAATTTGGAGTTATAGAATGTCAGGTATCGGTGGTTTTGATGATATATCACACAACTCCTTTCAGGTTCTGATTGGAAACTTTACATTCTGCCAAATCTATGGAATATCTTGGTTTACTCTAGACATAACATCAATCTTTGTTATGGCTGTCCTCAACCTGTGTAGAACCATCTCAATTTACCAGCCCTTTAGAGCTATACAGAAGAAGACAGTGTTAATCCCAGTTTTCATCTACATCACAGTGACCATCCTCGACACCACTTTTCCACTGTGGTTTGGAAGTTTCTACAAACCGGACTATGATGGAGTTCAATGTAATTACAACATGCCCAAAATTATGCCCTACGATTCACTACAATTCAAAATTTATCTAACCAACCATCCACACATCAGTCAATCGTGTCATAATCCCTATGATAATAATTATCTGTTGTATTTTTTCGAGTGTCAAGATTTGGAACAATCGGGCTACAAAAGTGCAGTGCAGCAGAAGAAATAGCGCGGGGCAAAGGTTAAGACAGAGGAGAAGGATTGAGGCAACTAAAACAGTTGTCTTGTTAGGAATCATATACATACTGTTAAACATCCACTACAATGTGATATACGTAATGAGTCTTTATCACACATTGAGCGGAACCAGTTGGTAAGTTTTGCTACAAAATTTGATAACTTAATGTCCCCTGCCTTGAAGATGTATGGAATATCTATGAAAAGTAACACTTCATTTAAAGGAAGGATAAAAATATAAATTATCTTAATTTTCAGGTACCTGTTCCCAGAAACAACGAATAAGGCTATGAGTGGCTTTTACGAGTTCTCAGCCTACTACATTTACGTTCACTGTATTTTACTGAACTCAACTATCAACATCATTATGCTGTACATAAAAACAAATAAGATCAAGCTTTACTTTAAATCTGTGGTCAGTTGTAAAATGTTGCAAAATTTCAAGTCGGAATTATTCTCTTCAAATGGGGTTGATTTATAGTTAATCATTTTATGGAATTGGCTGCTTTGTGAAACATTTTTTGTGAAATATTTTTTTTGGAAATATAAACCTTCAAATATCTTTTATTTTACCTTGCAGTAGATGGAAAGTAATCTGAACGGGGTGGCGATCTATTTTTAGTTCTATTAGATCCCTTTGCTAATTGAACAACACATCTGAAAATATGACTTGTAAGTCACAGTAAAATCATGAAGTGTTGTGTCAAGTAAACAAGTTTAAAATCAGCTGTAATATTAACATTTTAAAATTATCTTTTTACCTATTTCCTAAAAAGTCCCTGCTATTTAAATCGTCACAAGCCTCTTCTGCTTTTCTCCTGTCTTCAAACTCCTGAGGAAATGTTCACATTTATTTTACTATTAAGTACAACACTCTTCATGTTAGCCATTCAAAAACGCCACAATAACAGGTATATCAACATACGGAATTTCAGAGCTATTTCACCAAATTTAATCAATTTATAATTATCTTATGAACATGAGATTATTTTTACAATAGACTGTAAACAGTATAGTATATTCTAAAGTACTCACGACAAAAGAATAACCCTTCTTGATTATAACGTCAAAAATAGCGGAAATTAAAGACCTAGGCTATAATATTGTTCACCAATCTAGAGCTGGTAGAGGAGGTGGTGTCGCTATTGCCTTTAAGAAAGATCTTAGCTTCAATAAACGCCCTACAAAGACCCATAAATCCTTTGAACATGTTGAGAGTGTGCTGAAGTCAAGTTCCAATGACCTTCTTCGTTTCTGCTGTGTCTATCGATCTTGTACGGCTAAAATGTCCAAAATGACAGACTTTTTACGGGAATTTGATGAATATCTTGACAGTCTAACTCACCTTCCAGGTAGACTGATCATTGCTGGAGACTTCAATATCCATGTCGAAGACCTCACTGATCCTGATACGATAAATTTTATCCATCTCATATCAAACTATGGCCTCATCCAGCATATTTCCAGTTCAACACACATTGGGGGTGGAATCTTAGACCTTGTTCTTACTAGAAGCAATGCGTGTGATATGTTGAACATAAAAGATATAGATGTAGCTAAAACAGTAACAACATCAGATCACTACTTCGTAAATTTCTCTATTGCCTTTCCTCACCACAAAGGAAGCAACAAAGAAGATATGGTGGGCAGAAAGATATCAGATATAGACATAAATCTTTTTAAGGAGGATCTGTTGCTATCTGACATAAATGACCCCAACAAGTTTATTGACTGCAACTCTGCCACGGAACTCTATAACAAAGAACTTCGCAGAATTCTTGATAAACATGCTCCCCTTATCTGTTTTAGCATTAATCCTGATCAAAGCAAGTGGGTGGACACAAAATGTCAAACTGCCAGAAGGAAACGAAGAAAAGCTGAACGTGACAACAGGAGACTTAAAACTGCAGATTCAAAATTAGACTATAAAAAAGCTGTTAAGCATGCCGAGGCAGTTATAAACACCACTAGACAGCTATACTATGAAAATCGTCTGCAAAGCTGTGAGGACAATAAAAAAGATACCTACAAAATAGTCAATCAGCTGATGGATCGGGACATATCTAAAAACTTGAAGCCTAATAACAAACCTGCTGAAACTCTATGTGAGGAGATGAAAGAGTTTTTCAATGATAAAGTGGAAAAGATTTACTCTGCCATTAACAATGATACTGCAGCTGACATTCTTCTTGACCACTCTGAACCATTTCAAGGTGAAGCCTGGAGCCAATTTGAAACCATAAGCGACAATGATCTCAAAAAGATTCTTTCTGACCTTAACAAAAAAGAATGTGAAGAGGATCCCATCCCTCTAAAACTTCTAATGCAGTGTTTTAATGAAGTTAAACCAATTGTGTCATTTATTATCAATGACTCACTTGTCACTGGAAAATTTCCGTCAGTCCTAAAGAGTGCTCTTGTCAGACCAGCCATCAAAGATGATCAATAGCTTCAACAACTATAGACCGATTAGTAACTTACCTTTCCTCTCGAAACTCATTGAAAAGAGCGTCCAGAAACAGATGACCAAACATCTTGACTATCACAATCTTCATGCTGAGCATCAAAGTGGTTATAGGTCAAATCATAGCTGCGAAACTGCGACCCTTACCATCTACAATGATCTTCTTTGTATCAGTGACATGAAAAGTAAGGTTATCCTCCTCCTTTTGGACCTCAGTGCTGCTTTTGATACTGTAAATCATCACTTGCTCCTAAAAAAACTAAAAAAGGACTTTGGTTTTGAAGGTACTGTTCTCGAATGGTTTACATCATACCTTAATAACAGATCCTTCACAGTAACTATTGATAAATCAAGATCAAAGAGATGCTTCCTTAGAATTGGAGTCCCGCAAGGTTCAATTCTAGGTCCAATTCTGTTTATACTTTACACAAAGGAGCTCAATCAGATCGCAAAGAGACATGGATTTAACATCCACATGTACGCAGATGACACTCAACTGTACATTGAGTTTAACCCACTATTTCGAGATCTCTCAACAATCGAAGAGAGAATAACAAATTGTTTTGAAGATATTAAGACCTGGATGACCCAAAATAAACTCAAACTGAACCAAAACAAAACAGAAGCTCTTGTAGTACAGACCAAGAACAGTTACTCTTCATGTCCAGTCGATTCAATACAACTTGACAATGCAGCTGACCCTGTGGATGCATCCCGCACAGTGAAAAGTTTAGGTGTCCTATTTGATCAATTCCTAACATTTGAAGACCAAATAAATTCAATTATCAGTTGCTGCAACATCCATCTGAGAAACCTTCGAGTTATAGGCTCAAAGCTTAACTATGATCTAAAAAGACAGCTCATTCACTGCTTGATCTTTTCAAAACTAGACTACTGCAATGGACTCTTATACGGTTTACCTGATCTTCTAATAAAGAAACTCCAGAAGGTACAAAATTCCTGTGTTCGATTCTTGTTTGGTTGGAAAGCTATCAAAAAATGGGACAGTGTCACTCCATTCCTGAAAAAAGCCCATTTTCTTCCGATACGACAACGAATAGAGTATAAGATTGCTCTAACCGTGTTCATTTATGCGTTAACAACATAGCGCCGGAGTATATCATCAAATGTATTGACATCAAAAGTCAACCTGTACATGTACTAAGAACTGAAGAAGACTATTTCCTCCTAAATGTTCCTCCTATTTCAAACTATAGTAAAACCGAGAGAAGTTTCAGCTACTGCGGACCCTCTGTTTGGAATAAGCTTCCTTATCAATTGAGAACACTAACCGATATCGTCTTATTTAAAAAGAAACTAAAAACTCATCTCTTTGAAAACGTATTTGTATAAGTATCATGTATTACCTTTCTCATAAAATCCATACTTCATAAAAATAAGTTCTTATGTACATGTTACTCATGAGTCGCTTTAGATGGTTTGAACTGAATCTTTGGGTTTTGAGTTCTTTATGGCTATAAAGCGATGTATAAATTCCTACTTATTATTATTATTATTATTATAATGTCCAGCAGTTTACCATAGTTTTTGAAAAACTTCTTTATGTCTTGCTCTTGAGTGTCGGAAGGTATTTTACCCAGATAAACTGTGTAACTGTAAGAACTAGGCATTGTTGAACACTATAGACACATTCTAGAAAAGACAATTTTATTCTATAATAAATACGACACTTCAATTTACAGAATGCTTGCTAGAGATAAGACAAAATATTATCAGACTATACATGCAGCATGAGTAACTGGTGGATAAGCCTTCGGTAAAAACGGATCCGGAAAAGTCAATGCGGCACTCGGGTCCTTGGAATTGTCGTCGGTATATTGTCCATTATCTACGTTCTGCTTTCGTAGTTTAAACAATAGTGAGTTCTGAATAATATATACAGCTTTAAACCGATTAAGTATGAATGAATGAAATACCTGACAAATAGCACTCTTATAATCCAAAAGCATGAGTAACTCGTAGTGATGTATGATTTCTAGAAACTTTAAATTAAATTTGGCGCTCACAGGTCCTCATGAATATGTGATCGCCGCATAAGGTTCTGTAAATGCGCAGGGCACCTTCATTGAAGGGATCGCCCATTTGAAAGTTAGGTCAAAATTTCGATTTGCCAGCACTGCCTGGCGATCACTCAGATCGTTATACAGCAGATCTACTAAACTATAATTAACGAATTCCATGTTTAGGAACCTTAATGTTTCATTCATTTTTCCAATTTCTACACAAATGCGAGCGAGTACGCTCGTGCGCGGCACAAATTCCGCGCGAAATATGCAACACTTTCTATGATAGTTCACCACAGCGCCAGCCACGAAGTAATAAAACTATCGAATATGCAGAAGGACTTTCGACAAATCTGTTCCAAATAAAAAGATCGAAAATCGAGTGTTTTAGTGAATATCTTAGAATATAATTTTGATTTTCTCAAGATCTGACTGATAGATTTTCTTTAAACTTTCCAGATAGTTAGATGGCTATATGACGGATAATGTGTAAGAGTTTGGGAGAATTTCTATATGCAAAAATGGAGATATGACTTCAAACACAAGAAAATATCTCCAAATTGGCGGGTTCTAGCGGAACACAGGTATATATTTAGAGATCTGAATGATAGATTTTCTTTAAACTTTCCAGATAGTTGTATGGCTATCAGACGGATAATCTGTGCGATTTTGGGTGAGTTTCTATGTGGTAAACTTGAGATATGACTTCAAACACAAGAGAATATCTCCAAATTGGCGCGTTCTAGCGGAACACAGACACATATTTCGAGATCCTACGGATAAATTTTCTTTAAACTTTCCAGATAGTTACATGGCTATAAGACGGATAATCTGAGCAAGTTTGGGCGAATTTCTATGTGCCAAACTTAAGATATGACTTCAAACACAAGAAAATATTTCAAATTGGCGCGTTCTAGCAGAACGCAGGCACATATTTCGAGATCCTACTGATAAATTTTCTTCAAATTTTCCAGATAGTTGTATGGCTATGAGACAGATAATCTGAGCAAGTTTGGGCGAATTTCTATGTGCCAAAATTGAGATATGACTTCAAACTCATGAAAACATCTCAAATTGGAGGTTTCGGAACGATATTTGACGAAAGTCGATTATTTTGAGATCCTAATGATAAATTTTCTTTAAACTTTCCAGATAGTTGTATGGCTGTGAGACGGATATTATGTGCGATTTTGGGCGAATTTCTATATGCCAAACTTGAGATATGACTTCAAACACAAGAAAATATCTCAAATTGGCGCGTTCTAGCGGAACACAGGCACATATTTCGAGATCCTACTGATAAATTTTCTTCAAATTTTCCAGATAGTTACATGGCTATAAGACGGATAATCTGAGCAAGTTTGGGCGAATTTCTATATGCCAAACTGGAGATATGACTTCAAACACAAGAAAATATCCCAAATTGGCGCGTTCTAGCGGAACGCAGGCACATATTTCGAGATCCTACTGATACATTTTCTTTAAACTTTCCAGATAGTTGTATGGCTGTGAGACGGATATTATGTGCGATTTTGGGCGAATTTCTATATGCCAAACTTGAGATATGACTTCAAACACAAGAAAATATCTCAAATTGGCACGTTCTAGCAGAACACAGGCACATATTTCGAGATCCTACTGATAAATTTTCTTTAAACTTTCCAGATAGTTACATGGCTATAAGACGGATAATCTGAGCAAGTTTGGGCGAATTTCTATATGCCAAACTGGAGATATGACTTCAAACACAAGAAAATATCCCAAATTGGCGCGTTCTAGCAGAACACAGGCACATATTTCGAGATCCTACTGATAAATTTTCTTTAAACTTTCCAGATAGTTGTATGGCTATGAGACAGATAATCTGAGCAAGTTTGGGCGAATTTCTATGTGCCATTTTGAGATATTTTCTTGTGTTTGAAGTCATATCTCAGGTTTGGCACATAGAAATTCGCCCAAAATCGCACAGAATATCCGTCTCATAGCCATACAACTATCTGGAAAGTTTAAAGAAAATTTATCAGTAGGATCTCAAGATAATCGACTTTCGTCAAATATTGTTCCGCGGTACAAATGGAACAGAAAGTCCAACTCCGAATATGTCGGCCGTTTCCATGGTTGCTGACCATCCTTGGGGCTTGGTGCAACTGCAATCTTTAATGAAATATGGTTAGTTCGTATAATCAAGGTAGACAATGAAGACAACATTTTGTGGAAGTTATCCGTTGCATTGCAATGAAAAACTTTTAAAATTCTAATATATTAAATCTTATAACTACACAAATTTAAATTTAAAAACCCACATAAAATTGGGAAAAAAATGTTCTCTCCCTTGTTATTAAAACTGGTACCGAAGCTGCCCAAAATCATTGTCATATCCAAGTTGAAAATAACCATGTTCTAAAGAAAATCTTGATTAGTATTACACGGCGAGTGTTGTTAATCATTCCAACTATTTACTACTAATAAGGTAGCTAATCTCATCAATACGGTAGGAATAAACACTCAGGTTAACCTAGAAATACAATAAGACTGTTAAAACGAAAAGGCAACAACAAGGTTATCATTACAATTCTCTTCAAATCCCTGATACCGTGATTTTACCGTGAAATAAACGAGTACACAACAAGAGAATCCAATAAATATATAGCGGAGCACGGATGGATCACAGTATAAAATTTCAATAACTTCAAAGTAGTTGGATATTATAGATATTTCCCTTAACTAGCTGCTTATCTATAAATTGAAACCCCATTTTAACTTAAATATGGTATTTTACAAAACTACTTTACACTTTTCTCTCCTCGTCCTGCAATAACTAACATACCCTCGGCGCTCTGATTTACCCTACCACACACTCTCTTAGAAGCGTCGGTCGTCACTTTGACCAGCCGCTCCACAGATTGCGTGTGACGGAGGTCGGAAGTCAGTGGACTCTGTTGGAGTCCGGCGGACTCCGAGCGGAGTCCGCCGAGCTGGCGGACTCCGCCAAGCTCCGCCGGACTCCGCCGGATTCAAGTCTGGCGGAGAGGTCCGGCGGAGTCCGCCAAGCACTCCGCCGGAGTCCG